TAACTGTCCTCAGAAGGAGCAAAGCTGCCCTGGCCAGGAAGAGCACTCACCACTTATCAGGGGCGTAGGTGAGAGTAGGGCTTACCATCCCCAAAACAGAAGAGTTGGTGGTCCTGGCCCTCCCTTCCTGCCCCACCCTTCCCAGACCCCAGCATAAGGGCCACCCCTGAGCTTCCAGACCCTGGGCTCCCCCCAGGCTTTCCCTTCCTTCTCCCAGACCCTGGGGTGCCTACCTGGTAAGGTGTCTCCTCTGGGCCACCTCCTGCCACCAGCCCTGGAACATGACCTTCTGGAGGTGGCCGTGCACCCAACTCTGGCACTTGTGCTTCTCACGCAGAAGCCGCTGTCCTGGAGCCAGAGAGATATCCAGACACCGCCAAGGGAGCCGTGGGTGCTCAGTCAGCTCTGTCCCCAGCCACATGGGCACAGAGGCAGCCACCAGACTGCCTGAGTTAAAGGCTTCTGTGACAGGTATCCTGTGGTCACAGGCCACCCAGCTCCTGTTGTCGGGGGTTTGGGAGTTGGTGCTAGAGAGGGCCCCAGGGCATTTGGCTGTGAGCGACATGCATCTGGAGAATTCAGATAACATCTAAATGTGTGGTTTGTCTTTAAAACCACGAAGCCTGGCGAGCCTGGGCAGTAACTGGGCTGGTAAAGCAGCTGTTGCTGGTGGACACGGCTAGCTTTTCAGAACAATCCGGTCCCTGCCCACCAGCCTACTAATACGATGTGGCCCCCAGGGGGGTCACCTCAGAAACAGTCCCCAGGAACCCCTCCCCGGTGTCCATGAGCTGGCTAAACCTCTACCTGCAAGACAGGGAGACCAGGGGGACTGACTGACTTGCCTCCGACAACAGCAGAGGTGTCCACGGCACTTCTGCTATTAGGTGCTGAAGGAGCTGCAACTTCTGACTCTGTCTCTCGCCTCCTTTCAGAGCCCTCCCCAGGAAAGGCCAACTGTGGCTCACGAGGTGGCTCCACGTGGCGAGGCCTGTCCCCCTCCCCCCCATCCCCTTACCTCACTCCCCTCAACAAGTTGCTACCTTGGTCATCGCTCCCTCCTCAGCCTCTCACAGGTGAGTAAGATGCAGCCCAGAGAGCCTAAGATGCTTGTTTGGGGCCCACACAGCCCAGGATGTGAGCCCAGGCCTGCAGGCCCCAGTGCCAGGTCCTCTAGATCCTTTCTACCACTGCCCTGGGAATGCCTTGTATGTTTCGCCCCAGCTCCCCCTGCCCTGCAGGGCCCAGCCCAGCCCTTAATGTACTCTGCCGGTAGGTGTGCCAGTGACATAGAGCATCCCAAGCCAGGCCATGGCCCCACTCCTGGGCCCCCCTGCTCTGCCTCCTGCCACCCTGCCAGCTGCCACTGCCACAGGCCCAGGGCAACCCTGCAGCTCTGGTGCCAGGCCTGGTGGGCAGCCACCTCTCTCCAGGTCCCTTGAACAGGTGTCCAGTGTCTCTGAGTGAGGAGGGTGCTGAGAAGCAGAGTGTCCACCCGAGGATGGTCACTGCCACCCCTGGCAGCCCAGCCCACCCCCAGCAGCAAGGACCCTGAGTGCATAAAGGGGGCAGTGCTGGGACTGGAGTGGCTGAAAGCCCCATTAAGGTCAAAAAGCCAGCCAGTGGGAATAAGAAAGGACCCCCAACCCCCACCACCAAGTCACCAGCCACCAGCTAGTCCATAGCTTATGTTGTCCTCCTGTCTCGACTTCCCCAACTCTCCCAGAACCCTCTCTCCCTAAATGCCCACCTGTCCCCCACCTCGGACCCCAAGCAGGCCACTCTCAAGCACTGTGTTAATGTGACTCCAGGAGCTCACTCCCAGCTGTGACCTCACAGGAGGGACTAAGAAAACTGGGGTGAGAGAGAGGAGCCCCTGAGTACAGACCCCAAGGGGCTGCTGCTGTGAAGGCAAGGGGTGCTGAGAAAGGGGAGGAGGAAAACAGGGCTCCCAAGCACTAGGGAGGGGCCCTACTGCCTCTGGAGGCGGAGGCATTCCCTCGCTGCACCCCACACCTGGCAGGGCAGATGGTGCTTGTCCTGTGGTACAGGCCCGTGACTGTGAGTGTCCAGGAGGTTGGGGGCTCCAGGGGCCTGCAGAGGGAGAGGGTGTTGGTTCCCATCAGCTCTACCCCGTGCTCCCCCTCCCAGAGCCCTGCCCAGCACCTGCTGCAGTGAGCCCCGGTGGGTGCTGTAGCTTGGCCAGGCCGACCCTCCTAGGACACTGCTCAGTGGCTCCAGGACCAAGGTGGCCACACTGCTGCCCGAGAGGGAGTTCACACCCCACACCCTGACGCACCAGCAGTTCAGGATGCACCTCACGGTCCGCTCCCTTGTGCCCTGGAAGAAGGAGCTATGGAGAAGGTGGGTGGAGGCTGGGAGAAGCAAGCTGGCCCTGCACCCTGCTCTCTGAACTGGCCTCATGCTGGGGGCACTGGGGCTTCAGGACATGCCACTGCGGGGATCCCATCCCCAGGGAGCCCACCCTATGCCCCCAGGCTGACCTTGGGCCCCAGATCCAGGACACCTACTTGGCCTGCTGGTGCTGGGACAACCGGGTCTGCCAGAGAAGCAGGGCCCTGCGGAGGGCCAGTCTCCTGCAGGCTCCCTGCAGGGACACCAGGGACACTGTCTCCAGGCCTCGGGCTGAGCTTTGGAGGGCCAGGTTCCCTGAGAAGCACAAGAGCTGGGCCAGTTGGGCCCTCACACCTTCCTCACCTGGGGCTGCCCTGGGGCGCAGCCCCTCCTACATGCCTCTGACCCCTCCCTCCTAGCGGGCCACTGGAGGACCCCAGCTTCCGGAGTGGGGGCGGGGCTGTGCGTCCCATCCCCTTCGCACCGGGATCTTCCTGAGGACAAAGCTACTTCCTTCCCATGTGGGTTAACCCAGGGCCCAGTCAGCCTGCTGGGAAGAGGTGGGACCTAGCTGCCATTACGCGCCAAGGGTGAGGGGATGCGGCCAGCTGAGTCCTGCGATCCCCTGGGCTCCTCCAGGACTCCCGGGCCTGGCCTGGAAGGCGCCCCAGTGCCACCATCTCCCACGACAGGGACCTGCTGCCTCTTCTAGGCCTGCTGCCAAGGGAGCTCAGGGCCAGGGTTTGCAGGCCAGGAGGGAAAGGGAGCCCTCTCCCGCCCCTCACTCACCTGCCTTCCACCGGCAGAGGGACAGCGCGGTCACCTTCACCGCATCTGAGGCTCGCAGCTGCTTCATCCGCACCCACTGTTCCAGGTACACCCTCATTGTCCTCCTGCAGTGGTCAGCCAGGTGGCCCTGGCACAGGGCCTCTCTTTGCATGATCCGCCTCCAGGCCCAGAAGCACCTAGGGGAGTGGAGGGAGAGCAGCTCTGCCGCAGAACAGACTACTCTCCAGGGGCGATCCCTGAGCCACGCAGAGCCTCAGTTTCTCCTCTATGAAATGGGCTGCTGTGAGAACTGGGCCTGTTCAGGCCACTATGCTATCCCCCTGGGTGCCCCATGGCTGCTTTCAGCCCCAGCCCTGCTGGGCAGGGCAGCTCCCTCTTGGCGGCCAGAGCAATACTTTTCTGACCTCAAATCCAACATCACCCTGGTCAAGCAGCTCTTCCCCAGGGCCCCTGCCACCTACCTGGGCACCTCCCCAGCCCCACCTTAACGTGCACCCCCCAAACCCCCTCCCCATCAAAACCAGCCTCAGGGACATATCAAGGACTGAGATCAATAAATAAATGAATAAATAAAAAGAAACTTACAGATCTGTGGCCCTTCCCTTCCCACCCTGGGCTCGGGTGGTGTTTGCTGACATCCTGTGGCCACTTTCCTATCTGCCCCCACTCGCCCTGGGTCCCTCAGGAATGCCCCAGGGTGGACCTTGCACCCAGTAGGATCAGCTGCCTTCCTGTCCCAAGCTAGAAGGGGCAGGAGCTGATCCACCTCCCCTACCTGCACAGCCAGTCTCTCTTGGGCTGGGAGGCCGCTGGAGACACATCTGTCCTTTGTGTCCTCTGAGTGACCTTCCCGAGAGATCGCATCTCCTTCCTGGCCTGGTCTTTCTGGCACCACAGGAGGAAGACTGTGGAGTGAGGAGGGGCAGAAAGGGAGAGGGAGGATCGAGGCTGGGCAGGGCCAGGACACCGGGGCTGCAGCTTGCCCGTCTCTGGGGGCTCCCCTGCCAAGTGCCAGGCTCTGGGATGAGTGATCTCACTTTCTTGCCTCTGTAAGGGCCACTGTGAGCATCAGAGGGACCCAAATGCAAAGTGTGCACCTCGCATGCTGTGCACCCCAAGCCGGTCACTTAACCTCTCTGAGCCTCTGTTCCCCATCAGTAAAATGGGCGCTGTACTCTGTGGGAAGCCACAAATGAGACCGTGTGTGGAAAGGAGCAAATGAGAACACTGACCCCTCAAGCCCTGCCTGGGTTGGCTCTGTCCCCAACACACCACCTGCTCACCTGCCAGCTGCTGCAGGACCTGCAGGGTCTGGACTCTCCTGTCTCCACCATCTCCATCGTCTCCACTGTCTGGTCTCTGCCCAGGCTTTGAAGGAGGAGGCTGGGCTCCCTCCTCTCTCCTCAAGCTCCCTGCCCTGCAGGGGCCCCGGGACAAATGTTGCCTGGGCTGCAGGGACACAAGGTCCTGGCACATGCGTCCCAACCCAAGGCAGAGGCTGTGTGCCCTCTGAGCACAGAGCCCCTGAGCTCATGCCCCTGCCCAGCGGGTTATTTTATTTTATTTTTTATTTATTTATTTTTTATATATTTAGGGGTTTTTTGTTTGTTTATTTGTTTGTTTGTTTTTGGTGGAACCGGGCATTGAACTCAGATCCTTGTGCTTGCCAGGGAAGCGCTTATTCTACTAAGCCATCTCCCTGGCCCTCATTTTATTTTATTTTTTTAAATTTTTATTTATTTATGTGTGTGTGTGTGTATGTGTGGCCAGCTCTGCCCACCAGGGGGGCGGGGCTGGCTGGCATGTGGTGCTGGGGGATTGAACCGTGGTCCCTTGTGCTTTGCTAAGCTTGTTCTAAGTAGGTGCTTTAGACCACTGAGCCATCTCACCAGCCCCCTCATTTTATTTTTGATCCTAGAAGCTGTCATGGGGCCGGGGCTCTGTGTTTGCTTTATTCTTTCTCATTTTATTTTTTGTGGTGCTGGAGATGGAGCCCAGGGTCTTGTACCTGATAGGCAAGTACTCCACTGCTGAGCTACACCTCCAGACACCTATTGAGAATATTTTTTGGAGGGTAGGCGGTATTGGGAATTGAGCCCAGGCCTTGGCACTGAGCTACATTCCAGCCTGTTTTCATTTTGAGACACTCTCACTAAGTTGTCCAGGCCAGGCTCAAACTTACAATCCTCCTGACTCAGCCTCCGGAGTGCTGGGATCGCAGGTGTGTACCACCAGACCCAGCTGTTTGTCATAGCATCTCACAGCACAGCTGCCTAGCTGGTCATGGCACTGGGCTGTGCTGTACTCGCTCGCTGCTGTGTTTTGATTATAAACTGTGCTGTGATGGACATTGCTTTGAGCAAATCTTTGTCTACACCTGTCTGTCTCTTCCTCTTTCTCTTGTAAGGAGTTGGAGGTGGGCAGCAAGACACGGGGGAGGCTACCAGCTGCCCAGGCCACCCTGACCACCCCAGGGGACCCAGCCTACCTGCTTCTTGGGGTGGGGCACCCCGCTGCATCTCTTTCCAGGCGGACGACTTGGTCCTTGCTGGCCCAGGAAGCGTAGCGTCTGGATGCAGGCTGGACATGCAGCTGCCCTTCCTTCTGGTCTACCACTAGGAGTCTCCACTGATTTGGGGCAGAGGGCATTAGCTGCCACCTTGAATGTGCCCCCCAAGGGAGTACCTATCAGTCCCAGTACCTTTGGCCTTAACCATTAGACTACCCTGCCCCCTCAGAGTGAATGAATCAAGAGATGGGTCCCAAGACGCAGGCTTTCTTTGGGACAAAAAACTCAGGACTGGGCCAGGGAGATGGCTTAGTGGAATAAGTGCTTCCCTGACAACCGCAAGGGCCTGAGTTCAATCCCCAGTTCTGACACACACACACAAAAAAAACAACTCAGGACTAGGCATCCACCTT